GAACACACCATCATTTATTTATTCATATACCCATTTGTGGACATTTGGGTTGTGCATTGGGTTGAGCAATTGTGAATAGATTTTTGTGTGAACATAGATTTGCATTTATTTAGGGCACATAACCAGGAGTGGGATTGTTGTGTCATATTGTGTGTGAGTAACTTTACAAGAAATTGTCAAGCTGTTCTCTGCTGGGTTAGCAGTGAGCCTTGGAACATATTTAGTAGTTCACTAGACTGTTCAAATAGTTTTGCACCTTCATTAGCACTTGGTATTATCACTCTTTTTGTTTTAGCCATTCTATTACATATGTAGTAGTATTTCATGATGTCAATATTCATTTTCCTAATCATTAACAATATTGCACATCCTTTTGTGCACTTATCTGTCTTCTGCATATCCTCTTGGAAGTGTCTATTCTAGTCTTTTGTTTGCTATTTTCTGAACTTTCAGTTTTAAGAGTACATATTTTGGTTACAAGTCCTTTGTTGGAAGTGTGGATTCAACTTAGTAATTTTTTATTGAGGATTTCTGCATCCATGTTCTTGAGAGATTTGGGTCTGTTAGTTGTGCTAACCTAAAAATAAAACCAAAAATATAAACAAAGTGAGAGTCAACAAGCATTATCTGAGAGGAAAGAAAAATACCTATTTTTGGAAGCACTGATTCAGGCAAAAATCCAAACAGTGTTGCAATTAGGAGACGAAGGTTATGTATGGGAATGGGAAGGGGAACAGTTACATCAGTAGAAGGAGGCATTTCATTGGTGCAGATAAGCTAACATAACAATGCTAATTCTAAACAGTGTTTTTAATTTTTAGTTCCTTAGCCATAATAACTGCTTTCTTGTTATCTTCGCAAATAGTTGTTTGGGACAGTCCAAAGGTTATTTTGCCCAGTTTTAATATTCCAAAGGTTTGAGGCATAATACCTGCAAGGCAGTTCTATTTCTCTGGATGGCAGTTCCAGTTTCATCTTAAAGTGGCTCCATTTATTTAGTCGTTGGTAGATAGAGGATAGTCCTATTCTCTTAAAATGACTTGGAAGGTGTTCACTTCTGTTTTCTGGAATAAAATGTGTATAATTGTTATTTTTTTTTAATGTTAGGTGTAAAAAAACCCAGAGTTTTATTTGTTGGAAGGGTCTTAACAACAAATTCAACTTTTAAAATAGGTTTAGGACTATTCAAATGGTCTATTTCTTCTTGAGTGAACTTTGGTTTTTGTGTCTTTCAAGAAATTTGTGTTTCACTTATGTTATTAACATTTTAAATAACAAGAAAAATGTTATATTTGAGCAGTTGTTTGGTGGCTATACTGTTACATCCTGCCTTGTTCGGTTTTGGCTGGCTGGATTTTACTCATTCTACCAAAACTTTTATATCTGAGAAGCAGCATAATGTAAATAAAGTGTGTATATTCAGGAATCAGACTGACAGTTACCATATTTTGCCATGTATAACATGCACTTTTTTTGTCCAAACTTTTGAGGGCACAATTAGGGTGCACATTATACATAGGTGGTACTCGAAATACCTTGTATCTGTTTTTGTGTTTTATATTCATTACATAAAATTTCTTGTACCGTAATATGTTAAAAAATAAATGCTTAAATTTCTTTATAGGACAAAAAACAAGAATCTAAATAAATACAAAAATGAATTAAAAATTAAAACGAAAGATTTTTTCCTGAAAATTTGGACCAAAAACATGAATACACAGTATACCTGGGAGCGCACTATACACAGCAAAATACAGTACTTCTCCTGTTTCACATACTTCATCTAAAAGTGTGCAAATATAATAGTAACTACCTCATAGGGTTGTTGTGAAGAATATATGACATGATCCATGTTAAGGGGTTGGGAAGCACTAATTAGAGAATCCTAATTTTGTTAACATCCTCATCATTGTTAATTGCTCAGTACTATCCAACAGTATTAATTTTGCTTCAAACTTTTTAATGTTCCAGACTATAAAGGCTTTCATTTTTTTAATTAACATTTTCTAACCTCTTTAAGGCCTTGTCACATACATGGCCTCTAACTAGGAACATCTTCATTCTAGCCATATGTGCTCCTTTTTCATCTGTCTCTTCTGAAAACTTAGATTCATGCACATACACCGAACGTATATGAGGTCTGTCCAGAAGGTATCTAGCCATGTAATATAAAAAATAGAGACATTTTTGAAGAAGATATAAGATACAAGAAACATTGCACATAGGACAATGACACCTCAGTCCCCTTCAAAGTAGGCACCTTAAGACCTCACACAGTAGTCCCATTTGACATCAGCTGCCTCCTTGTATTTCCCTGAATCTCATTGATGGTCTGAAATCTCTTTAATTGCAAAGTAGTTTTTAGTTTTGGGAAAAGCCAGAAATTACAGGGTGCCAAATCTGGGCTATAAGGGGGCTGAGTCACCTGAGTGATTTGATGTTTCACCAAAAAACTCTATGAGACATGCATGAACAGGAGCACTGTTGTGATGAAGCTGCCAGTCACCATTTGCCCATAGCTTGGCCTTCTGATTCATCTGAATAGTTTCCATGGAGCAGTATTCAAGCTTAACACAAAATTTGATGCAGTTTCGTTGCTATACTTGCTCAGTCATTATGAATGTGATGGCCACACAGTACACATGCTCACACAAGGCATCTACTGCCCCCACTGACTAGTGCAGTGAAGTCATCATTGTCCACGCATGTGCATTTCAGTCCACTTTCCTTGGCTGCCAGGTTACATCAATGGTGGGGAAAACATTCTTGTTACTAACAATGGCTGGACTTCTTCTGGACCCTTGTATGTACAAAGCTAAATATTTTCTATTCTTACCATTTTTAATTCCCACATCAAATAAATCACAATGTTAGTAAAGTGGGAAATAAGAAAATAAGCCAAGGCTTTTGTTTTTGCCAAGGATGGTCCCTTAACTCTGCAAATACTTGAATGTGCATTAAAAAGTCACCTGGAAACCTTGTTTAAATAGTGTTTCCTGGCCTCATTTCCAGAGTCTAATTAAGTTGGTCAGGTAGGTACTCACGCATGCACATTTCAGACATAATCACTGGTGCTGCTGTTGCTGCTGCAGCAGCTTGTTCAAGGACTGCACCTTTAGGAACACTGTCTCATTTGAGTCAGAGGTGTCTGTGTAGTGATTGGAAAACTTATAAATGCTTAAGACTTCTCCACTCAACTGTAATATTGGGCATGTCATTTAACCTCTCAGATGTATTTTTGTTAGTGATTAATGATCTTTATCAAACATAGTCGTTATTCTGTTAAAATATGCCTGTCAGTATAACAGTTGATATTTTCTGTCTCACTTATGTTTCAGCTAAAGTTTCCTAAGATCCAGTCAGATCTAACCATTCTCCCCCTCTTCCTTTCTATATTTTTCGCTAATTTATGACTTTGTAAACACATAATTATATGTCATCTATATGATTTTTGGGTATAATTTTGTATCCTGCAACTTTATGGACTCTGTTCTAACTGGTGTCTGTGATCGCTTCTCTATTCTACCATTAAACAACTATACGTAAAAGACGCCACGTTATTGTAATGTCTTTTGTTTTATTGAATTTATTGGGGTGACATTGGTTAATAAAAATATGTAGGTCTCCAGAGTATATTTTTTAATGGAGTCTTTAGGGTTTTATCTGCAAATAGTGGTGGTTTTACTTACTCATTTCTAGTTTGGAGGTCTTTTATATCTTGTCTGATTGCTGTGGCTGGGGCTTCCAATGCTATGTGAACAAAAATGGTAAGACTGGTCATCGTGTTTGTCCTGCTCTCAAAGGGAATGCTTTCAGCTTCTTCCTTTGAGTATGATATTAGCTGTGGTCTTGTCATTTATTATGTTGAAGTATGTTCTTTCTATATCTGCTTTGTTGAGAATTGTAATCATAGGTGGATGTTGAATTTTGTCAAATACCTTTTCTGCATCTGTTGAGATAATCATATGTTTATCCTTCATTTTGTTAATATGTTGTGTCACAGTGATTTACAGATGTTGAGTCATCTGTGTTTACATGCCTGGAATAAATCCCACTTGATAATGGTGTAGGATCCTTTTAATGTTTTATTGAATTCTATTTGCTAATGTTTTGTTGAGGATTTTTACATCTATGATTACCGTGGATACGGGCCTGTGATTTTCTTTTCTCTTGGTGTCCTTGTCTGGTCCTTGTATCAGGCTAATACTGGCCATTTACAAATTTGAAAGAGTTTCCTCTCCTATTTTTTTTTGAAAGAGTTTGAGAAGGACTGGTATTAATTATTCTTAGAACATTTGGCAGAATTTACCAGTGAGGCTGTCTGGTCCTGAACTTTTTGTCTGTTGGAAGGTTCTTGGTTACTGATTTAATCTCCTTACTTGTTACTGGTTTGTTCAGATTTTCTGTTTCATTACGATTCAGTCTTGGCAGGTTTTGTGTTTTTAGGAATTACCAATTTCTTTTAGGTTGTCCAATTTGTTGGCTTATAGTTGTTCATAATAGTCTCTTATGATCATTTGTATTCTTGTATCATTTATAACAGTTCCGCTTTCATTTCTGATTTTACTTATAAATCTTCTCTTTTTTCTTGTTAAGTCTAGCTAAATGGTCTTGTCAATTTTGTTTATCTTTTCAAAAAAACCAGCTCTTAGTTTTCTTGATTTTCTCTATTGTCTCTGTATTATTTATTTCTGCTCTAGTATTTTATATTTCTTCTTCCGACTAACTGTAGGCTTCATTTGTTCTTTTTCTTCTTCAAGGTGTAAAGTTAGGTTGTTGATTACAGACATATATTTTATATTTCCCCTATACATTGTGATATAATAGTAAATGATTAAAACAATAATAAACTTTAGGTGTTTGAGTAAAGCATTGCTATCTTTACATGTTTCTTAAGCCATTTTCTATAAAAGTTCAAAAAAGTATAATTTTGCTTTTTTTTTTGCTATTTTTTTAGATGCCTATACAATGGAACATTTATATCTTCATTTCTATTTTAGGTACGTATTGCAGCAAAATTCATCATTCATGCCCCTCCTGGAGAATTTAATGAGGTGTTTAATGGTAAGTGTTTAATTCATAACACTAAGACTTGATACACCAATCACTCTTTAAAAGAGTAAATGATATAACCAAAATAACTAAGCTAAGGGGGAGTATGTAGAAGAAAACATGAAAATTTTTGTCAATCTGGATTTTGTAATGGGTAGAATATAATGTATTTGACATACATGGTAATTGTTTGAATAAATTAATCCTCTTAAAAGAAATGTTATTTTAAAAGACAAGAACTTTTTAATTTTAACTATTTTTTGGAATTGGGAAATTCATTTTTGTATTTTTTGTAAAGAAAAACATACTAGATTAATATGAACAGCCAAAAAGCGGGTAAGGGGACATCGTTTCATCATACTTAGATGACAGCGCATGTAAAAACATTTGTTATTTAAATTAGATCTCATATATTAGTTTATGGTATGCTTTTTTATAAACGTCACTGATGAAACATTTTTATAATTATTCACCTGTAGATCAAATTTTAAACTCTTGTATAAATTTACAGCAACTCCTGGTTGTTATAAAAACTGTTGCAACAGCTCCTCTTGAACACTAAGAATGATGCATTTGAAAGTCACCAGGAAATTGGCCTGTAGTGATCTTTTTTACAGAACTTTTCATAAGCATTTTTAAGAATAAGCTGCCACAAACACTTTAAATGTGCTATTTCTAATTCATGTATATTTGGCCTATACCATGTCTTAAATTAAAATGAACTTATATTGGGTTTTTCTATTTTTTAAAACATTCTAACCTGGGGTAAACTATTTAAACATGTTTATTAAAAAGTTTAATCAGTCATTTTTATTCATAGTGTAAGATAGTGATTTTTAACCAGTGTGCCACAAGAATTTTTAAAGCATGCAATACCTGATTACTTAGTGAGAGATGCTGACCTCTTTTCCTTAGATGGTCAAATGAAAAAAATGACAAGAGCCAACAAATAGTAGACAACTGGTGTGAATGAATCAAAATTATACCTATTTTGTCTAATCAGCAAAAAATACAATATATATTTTGGTGTGCCACAGAATTTTAGTAATTAGTTTATGTGTGCCGTGAGATGGAAAAGATTGAAAATCACTGGTGTAAGTTATAATGAATACTTGCCTCAAAAGAGATTGGGTTTAAGAAGCCAAAATTGTTCCATTAAAAATACCCTTGAAAATCTCTTAAATTATTCACAAACTATAATAATACATGACTTAGTTTATGCAGCACATGTGGTACTTCTTATGCATTTAAAATTTAACCACTTGTACACTTAGAGGAAGAATGGTAAATCTACATAGTAAAAAAATCTCTGGAAATTAAAATAATTTTGCCTTTTAGGATAGCTATAAAATCTGTAGTAGTGAATTTAGAAGTTGGGGAGGATTCAGAAGTATTTCTGTCTGTAGTTTTTAATTTGTTTTAATATTCAGCTTCTATAACCGAAATATACATTAATACATTTGATTGTTGGGGCATTAAAGAAGATGAAGAAGACAGACACTGTCTCCTCCTGAGGTTCAGAAGTAGGCATGTACAATAACTTAGTTAAGGGTTAAACTGCCCTAAAATCAATGGTCATCAGACTTCTGTACAACTCACAGAGCAAAGAGTAAATTATGATTCTAAGCAAGTTTTTCACTTTCTCTTTTTTCCCTGAATTAAATGCCCTACAAATTCGTAACTCAGACAGGGCCTAAAAGAATGTATGAGTCCTAGAAATTGCTTTTCTAAGTCTCATTGGAAATTCATATTGAATTGATTTGTGTGTGAGATACAGTAAATTTGGGCATTTTGGATGAGCCATTCAATAGGTCTGGGATGGATAGTGAGCTATGGAATAAAAGTGGAATATAAAATACTATAAAAGTTTTAACTGAGGGGCTATTTTAGAGTTAAAAAGTAATTAAATATTTGAGGGGGAAATGTCATATTAATTCAATTATTTTCATTCTATCTTAGTTGATAACATTGGTATTAGAATGATTTCAAGAGAAGCCACAGATTTTAGAATTATAGTTATAGAATCTTGTCAGTTCAATGGTTCTCAAATTCTGTTTCCTAGACCAGCTACATTAGAATCATTGAAACAGATTTTTGGTCTTTATTCTCAAAAACCAAATTGGTAGATCTGGGCTTTGACTCTGAAATATGCGCTTTTTTTTATTAAGCTACCCGCCCACTATTCTATAGCTTAGATTAGAACTACAGCCTAAAATCTCTTCTTTATGAGTAGTATTTTATTCAAATTCTCTGTTTCTTCCACTGTACTCTGTTTATGTTAAAAGCATGGTCTGTCCCAGCTAGTGTGACTCAGTGGATTGAGTGCCAGCCTGGAACCACGACCCAAGGGGTCGTGAATTTGATTCCCAGTCAGGGCATGTGCCTGGGTTGCAGGCTAGGTCCCCAGTAGGGGGCATGTGAGAGGCAACCACACATTGACATTTCTTTCCCTCTTTTTCTTACTTGCTTCCCCCCTCTCTAAAAATAAAGTAAAATCCTAAAAATAAAAACATGGTCTTATTTTTCAGAATAAAGCTATTTGATCAAATAGATTCTGCTTTTAAATTATTTTTTCATTTAAAACTGGAAAAGATACACTAGCCTGTAAATTTCACATTTAATGATTATGCTTTAAATATTGAAGATGAAAGAACAATATTAATCAAAGAAAATTTCCCCATTTGCTTTGTGAGGTGGAAATAACTATAATTGTTAATGTTTATGTTAAGCAGAAGCTTCCATTGTTTGAAGTCAGTTAATTTAAAAATCAAATTAGTGTAATTTAGTGGTTAGCAGAAGAGATTGTTTTTTAAATCAAGTCCTACTACTAAAAAGAGGTATGTGAATAGGAAATACGTTTCTTTTTGGAATAGCTTTGTTATTTTTGTAGAATTTACTCCATTGTAAAGTATCCCCCAAAAAACCCTAAAAATCATGCAAAATTATACCCTCTAGTTCTCCACTGTTTAAATGAAATTCTTCTAATGTCTCTCAATTTAGATAACACACATAACATTGCATAAATATGACAGTAATGTACATGTTGAGTTTCTCCCTTCCTGTTTGTTATAGTATGGATGTTTTTCATTGTTGTTAAATACATATCTATATTACTTTTAATGGCTACCCAATTTTACATTGTTTATAAGAACTATATAGTACATTTGTATATTATTAAACCAGTTTCTTAATGGGAGATACTTAGGTTACTTGTGTTATTTTTATTTAATGAAAAATTAGGATGCACTGTGGTGTGTACTTTATTATAGCAACAATGTAAAACAGCCAAGGTCATAGGAAAAATAATGAAAAAATATATGAAGATGAGTAGAAATTTGGTTGTTTTTGGTGAAATTGTGATTTTTTTCTTTATGATTTCCATAGTGCTTGAATTTTCTAATAAGAACTATTTTAAAGTTATGTTTTAATGATTAATAGACAAATGTCTATGTAATAATTAGGACAGAATTAAGAATTGATAACCACAATGAATTGCTGAATCAAATAAAGCACCTACCATATCAGAGTAAATATATTCATCTTCTTTTTGAGGACAGAAATGCATACTTCTGTACTCCATTCACAAGTGTTTCTTCATTAACCAATTTTCTGTAGGATGAGCTCATTCGAAACTCAGTATTGTCAAACTAGAGGCACTGTGATTAGTTTGCAGATCTTATCACACCATCTTTTTGCTGTAGCTTATCTTCAGTTTCTTTGGAGATACATTACAGTCTGCTTGCATATAAAATAACTTGTGTTTCTGTTTCATTTCCTCTTCTGTTTCCTAACAAATTTTTAAATTAATACCATGATATGTTTTTGTGCATGCTTTGGTTGTCAGAGTGATATTTTGATCTTGCTTACATCTTGGGCCAGGGGTCGGGGGTGTTAGAACGTGACCAAAATAACTGCATTTATTACATAGAAATTTCAAAAATAGAAAAATAGTAACATAGAAAACAATATTTGTTTTACAGATGTTCGGTTACTACTTAACAATGATAATCTTCTCAGGGAAGGAGCAGCCCAGTAAGTATTATATATTATTATATTAACATAATGAAAGTGAGTTAGGAAAAATGTTTTAAAAGTGGTTTTTAAGCACGGATCCCTGGAATAGATATTGGCACAAGTTCAACTATATAGAATCATACATATGCACTAGGCTAGAAGAGAAATTTTTATCAGAGAGAAATAAGGACATAATTATAACATGTGATTCTCTACTCATTGTATGTTTAGCAGTGGCTTTTATACACACTGCAACATTTTGGCTTTTGCAAAGTTGTATAAAATTATTTTAGAAACTTAGATATTTAAAATTATGATTTTACTTTTTATTTTGTTTGACCCTAAAAAGAATTTTGATGGTTATGAGATTTTATTCATCCACAAAAACATAACATAGTAATTGACACATAATTACTTACAAATATTTACCAGATTTGTGAGTGATTCAGAGAACTGAACAATTCTGAATCTCAATACATTATCTTTGAACTAAATGACCAGAATCATTACTTTGCCACAACTATCTTAGGATTTCAAAGAAATTACTAATTCTCTTTACACAGCCATCTTCCAAAATAAGACCTGAAGACCCATATCATAGGCTAACCAACTTTATTACTCACTTGAAAATGCTGAAATTGAACAGATTTTTAGGTGCCGTACAAAGAGTGTTTAGTATCTATTTAACTATTTTTATCCTATTTCACTATCCAACATGTGAAATCCTAACTAATGAAGGAAATTTGCTCTGATTCTGTATTTGTAGTATTTGAAGGCTTTATCAGTCTGATACTGCTTTTGATTAAATTTCTGTTGTTTTCAATAGCAGTTTATACTTACTTTTTTTTACTGTGGGAAAAATCTATATACATAAAGTTTATCTTTTTAAATTTTATTTTTCAGTTACAGTTGACATTATTATTTTGTTATAGTTTCAGGTGTACAGAGTAATGGTCAGTCACATAAGTCACAAAGTAATCCCTTTCATATTTTCCAAGACCTGCCTGGACACCATACATACTTATTACAATATTATTCACTATATTCTCTATCTTGTACTTTACACCTTCTTGACTATTTTGTAACTACCAGTAAAATTTATCTTTTTTATCACTTTCAGGTTTACAGTTCTCTCTCATTAAGTACATTCACATTGATTGTTGAATAATCATTACCACCATCTGTCTCCAGAACATTTTTCATTATCCCAAATCAAAACTCCTTACCATTAAACAATAATTTCCCATTCTCACCTCCCCCAAGCCCCTTGGCAACCACTATTCTATTTTCTGTATCTATGAATTTGACTTCTCCAGGCACCTTATAAGTGGAATCATACAGCATTTGTCATTTTGCAACTAGTTTATTCTACTTAATATAATGTCTTAAAGGTTTTGCCATGGTGTAGCATGTGTCAGAATTTCCTTTTTAATACCTAATGTGTATATTAGTATATCACATTTTGTTTATTCATCTATCACTGGAAACTTGTGTTGTTTCTACCCCTGTTAATTATTACATTAAAATGCTTTGTAGAAATCAGTTTACTTTGTACCTTTGACTTTGGCTGTTAGCTTCTGAGTAAATAGCTGCATACTCCTAAGTTTTATAAACTTTACTTAAATTATTTTGTATATTCAAGTAAAATTAATTTTCTTTCTAAAACTTCATAGCATGTTTACAAGTCTTATGAAAATAAAGAAATATACACTATTTATGAGCTTTTAATGTTCAAAATGAACTTTTCCTTTGATTTCTCTGTGATAAATTAATTTGTGGGCTGTTTCAGCTAGCTGTAAAAATTAGTAGGGTTTTTCTTTTTTTGGTTTGTTTGCTTTTTTAAGAAAATGAGAAACTTTACTTGTTGAAAGACAAGAGTTGTTCCCATGGCAGAATATGGTTTAATGAAGATCAGATAAATATTCATAATTATATAGTGGTATGAAATAGTCATATATTAGATTTAAAAGTATTGAAAATATTGAATTTTATTTGTCCAAAGAAGTATTTACCCAATTATGATTGTTACACTTAAATTAAATAACTTGGACTTATTCTGAAAAGCAGTTGGGATGTGAATTACAATTTTTCTTGTGTTGTATTATGAACCACATTTCAGGGACAGTAGTAGTTGGTCCATGTTTCAAAGGTATATGAAGTCTGCCCAGAAAGTATCCCGCCATGTAATTTGAAAAATAAGGGCACTTATTGAGGAAGATAATAAGAAACATTGTACATAGGACAGTGATGCCTCAGTCCCTTGAGAATAGGCACCTTGGGACCTCACATAGTTGTCCCAGTAGCCATCAGATGCCCTGTCATATTTTCCTGAATCTCATCCGCAGTCTGAAATTTCTTCTTCTTTCAAAGGAAATTTTAGTTTTGGGAAAAGCCAGAAGTCACAGGATGCCAAATATAGGCTGAAGGGGAATTGAATCACCTGAGTGTTTGGTGTATCCCCCCAAAACTGCACAAGCTGTGATGTGTGAGTGGGCGCATTGCCATGATGGAGCTGCCAGTCACCAGTTGTCCATAGCTGTGGCCTTCTGAATCATATGAATGGTTTCTATGGAGCAATATTCAAGCTTAACACAAAATTTGATGCAGATTCGTTGCTGTACTTGCTCAGTCATTTTGAATGTGACGGCCGCACAGTACACATGCTCACAACAAGACATCTACTGCCCCACTGACTAGTACAGTTCAAGGCATCTTTGTTCACATGTGTGCATTCCAGTCCACTCTCCTTGGCTACCAGGTTACATTGATGTCAGACAAACAGTTCTCATTATATTAATGCTTGGAATTTTTCCAGACAGGCCTCATATACATTGAAATACCTGATACTCTGATTTGTTAAAAAGAAATAACTCTGTGAGGAAATCAGTAACTTATAATAAAATGTTTTAAGATAAACCCAAGAGAAAAAAATTTAATCTTCAGTAGAAACTTCAGGTTTTCTCGCATGTTTTTATACTCTCTTAAATGATTGTTAACCAGTTGAACAAATTGAGAAAATATTGATGATTTTTGTTGATTTCGGTAGTATTCTTGGCACAGAATCTCTTAAAAGTAAATATTCATTTGAGTTAATTTTGTAGATACATAATGGTAACCATGAAGTGCAGAAATGTATAATACTATAAATCAGTGATTTTCAACCTTTTTCATTTCATGGCACATGTGAACTGAAATCCTGACAACAAAACTGGGTCGACTCATTATTTTATTATCATAATTTTGACTTATTCACACTGGATGGCATTTGTTGTGTTGGCTGTTGTCATTGTTTTTTATTTGACAGTCTAAAGGAAAAGAGGTCAGTGCCCCTGACTAAAGAGTCAGGTATTGCTTGTTTTAAAAGTTTTTGTAGCACACTGGATAAAAATTGCAGTCTTAAATCATCAATTGATTTTGGAATTATATCACTCTGGTTCACAGTGTCCTTTCTGTGAAATAATTTTAAAGTAAACATAGTAATATCCCCATTGTTCACTAAACTTGTTTCTGAGTTACTTTTTAAACATCCTCAAGCCTGGTTTCAAATTCAAAAGATAATTTATCACCTATCACTGAGGCTGCAAAACTACGTAAGCTTGAAAGGCATCACAAAACCATCTAGAATGTGTCCCAATGGCAGTTTCACCAGAGTAAATGGATAGCCATGGTTCCCTTCTTCAAATGCATTTTTTGATAGTGAATTTCTTTTGTACAGGTGCTTCTCTTTCTCACATAAATGTACTTCTTTTACTCCCTTTTCCTACCTTTTCCCTGTTGCTTTAACTCTTCTAATCATTTTTTTCTCTTTTTACCTTGTAAGACGGAAAAAACATTTAAGAGTGATTCCAATTGGACATCTTAACTAAATGACACAAACTCAATATGTTTTATAGTAAAATTAGACATATTGAAAAATTGGTATTCTCAGTTCTAACACACTTAGAAACATTCAGAAATAGCCTTTATTCAACAGACATGAATGCCAGACTTCACTGTGACGATGAAATAAATAAGGCTCTTAGAGGTTTTTTCAGTGGGGACTCAGATGTTCAATACCAGGCCAAAAGAAATAAAACATCATAACAAAGGTCATTGGAAGAAATTTTTAATTTCAATTTAGAGTTGGTTTTTGAGTTCAGTTTAAATCATGAATCGGATTTGAATAGTAAATAAGTGAAATGATGTGGCTAATCTGAAGGAAATACATGGTGAAAAGTGTAGAACGTGATTGGTGAATGACTAATAGTAAAGGATGTAAAAGTCTAGATACAGGAACAGGTGACTTAGAAATGAATGATTGGGCTACAGAACTCTACAAGGGCAGAGAAATAATTGTTTTACTATGTCTAATAGAGTGCTTTACACCTTAATATTTGCATAAGGGGAGGGTTAGGTGAGTGGGTAATGAACTGGAAGGGACTTTGGAAGTCATTTAGTCCAAACCCCTCTTCTTATAGTTGAGGTAAATGGGGGCCCATTGTAGCTAATAACAGGTTTTGAACATACATAGGTATTCTATATGCTGATTCCTAAGTTAGTGAGTACCTTTCTGAGTCTCCTGCATAGTTGTCACCTATTGGAACATTTAGGATAAAATGGTATCTATTTCGTAGTCATTGTCTCCTTTTCAGATTTCCTATTATTCACCTACTCCCAAGTTATAGAGAGATGGAGTTTGTTATTATGTATTGTAGAAGGCTTTGGACCAAATTATACAAATTTATTATTTAAACATGTCTTTTGCTGGAAAATTAATACTAAATTCTAAATGATTTAGAATACAGTTATGTACCACTTATCAAAAGACATTTTCTGAGATATGTGTCATTAGGCCATTTCATCATTGTACAAAAGTGTACTTACACAAGCCTAGACAGTATAGCCTACTACCCACCTGGGCTATGTGGTATAGCCTATTGCTCCTAGGCTACAAACCTGAGTGTACAACATATTATTAAACAAAACAACACAAGATTAAATCAAACACAAAAGAAAATGATGCAATCAAGAGATGTGATAATCCAGATGTGTGAGGCTGCTGGTATAACATGATGTGGGTTTTCATATAAGTAGAGGAGTATAATCTAAAATAATGATTAAAGGAATAGTATATAGTAAGTATGTAAATGAGTAATATGTTTATTATAACATATTATGTACTGTACATAAATATATGTTATGCTTTTATAAGACTCGAGCACAGTAGGTTTGTTTACACCAGCATCACTGCATTGCGTTAGACATCACTAGACAACAGGAAATTTTCTGCTCCATTATAACATGGAACTGTCATCTCATATATAATTCATCCTTGACTAAAACATCCTTACACAGTGCATGACTGTCCTTTTTTTAAATCTTAAACATACTTTTGAGATAAATTCATTTAAGGGTTATTTAGTGCCTGGCTGTGTTGAGGCTGTTGCCAGGAAAATTAGAGTTTTAATAAATTAAGACAATCAGAAGTGAATAAATATTCTTTCTCCATCCCCATTCATGCATTTCTGTAACTCCCCCCCCTTTTTTTCCAACATGCAGTGTCAGGAATTTGATGGCTCATAATTTAATTCTACTTTGCTATTTTTACATTTACTTGACTCCTGTTAACTCATCAATATTGCTTTGGTCAAACAAAACATTCCTTTCTAGAGTAGCTAATACCTGAAAATGCAGTGAATGTGCTGCCATCCAGAGTAATCTGAAAAATTTCCAAGTAGATTAGATTTGATATATTCCTAAATTTTAAAATTCTCAATACCTTTTCTGTTAAGTGGAAGAAAATTCTCAGATTATAGATTTAATAAAACACAGTGTGATCTTTATATATTTTTAGATAATTACTTGTACTAAGAGTTTTTCCTACTCTTATGTGTTATATAATTGCATAATACATTATTACTCAAGTGAGAATAGAGAAAGGCTTTATTCTTGAATTTATCTCATTACCATTTTCTAGTTCAAACTCAGCATTTCTGGTAGTGGTTGCTTCATTGCCCAATTTGTCATACATACTGCTGCCAGATTAATCTTTAGATGTAGTTCTACATTGTCCTTTCTCAGAAAACTGCTGTGACTACTTTTTGCCTCCCAAATGAAGAAATTATTCCATCATTCAGGCTTTTCAGGTCAATTCACTATATACAGCCAAACACCTGTGATGTGCCAGGCATTGAGCTTAGTGCTTTCTCTGATGTTGGGCCTAACCTATCTTTTCATATGTTTTGTTCATCCTGGTCCTTCTAATTGAAATATTCTTCCCCCCCCATCCCTCTAATTTCTGCAAGACCAGAGAGGCTACCCAGTATCTCAAGGCCATTTCTCAGTATCACATCCATTAGGAAATCACCCCTAATTCTCTTTCTTACCCTTCAGCAGAATGTACTTTTTAAAAATATATATTCTCCATGGTGCTTTTTGGTCAGTCTCTTATGTACTTTCTGTAGTACTACTTCATCTGTATTTATGTTTATCTGTTATCTTCTGTTCAACTGCATAAGCTCTTTGATCATAGGTTCAGTCTGATTACTCTTTGCTCTCACAGTACCTTCCTGGTTTCCTGGTAGGTACTATTTAGTATACTACCTGGTATACTAAATATATGCCTGAATAATTTGATATGAATTATTCAGAAGTCTAACCTATATTTTCAGAGTTTTTAATGAAAAGACTAATTATATTAGCTAATTTAATTTTCTTTTGCTAAACATTGAAAGCTGGATATCTTCATTTTAAAAGTATAAGATCAGTAATGGAGACTTACAGTTTTATTTAACTTGCTGTGTGACTTTAGTTGATAGATGAGTTGTTTGTGATTTTTAAGGATATTAAGTAAGTAATTTTAAGTAATTGCTCTTTTCTTTCTTAGTGCATTTGCACAGTATAACTTGGACCAGTTTACTCCAGTAAAAATTGAAGGTTATGAAGATCAGGTATGTTTCATATAAACACAGGATCTCGCTGTGTTTTTTGTTGTTGTTGTTTTTTTTTCATTTTTAATGGCTAATGTTACCCTGCAAGAATTTGAAGTGATGTAGTAAATGTTCTAAGATTTTAGAAAATAATTGCTTTAAACCTACTTGTTTTTTATAGAAAAAAATCAATCCTATATTAATCCAAAGTCTAGTATATATAGTAGTAAAATTTATACATAATTTGGTTGCTCTGGAATTCTACAGTTCTTCATGTGAATAACTTAGCATTTAATAATCATTATATCCTTTTTTTCTGAAGTGCAAGTTAGAATTGATAAGCTAAGAAAGGCCACAAAAGGTAACTAGCATTCTTTTTATTTTTTGGTTTAGAGTTGCTAATAATTGAACCATGATTGTATCAATTAATATTGTGCTTATGTGAAGAACAGTTTATATAAAACAACATTGCTGACTTACACAATAAAAGTGAGTATGTTGGTTCATAAACCACAGGGTCCAAAGGAACTAGTAAGTGGAACATAAGAGAGTGTAATGATTAGTTCTTAATGACTAATTATATTAAAGCTTATATTTGGCATTACTTATTTTTTAAAAATATTTAATTTATTTTTAGAGAGAGGAGGAGGGAAGGAGAGAGAGGGAGAGAAACATCAATCTGTGGTTGCCTCTCACATGGCCCCCACTGGGAACCTGGCCAGCAACCCAGGCATGTGCCCTGACTGGGAATCAAACCAGTGACCCTCTGGTTCACAGCCCGCACTCAATCCACTGAGCTATACCAGCCAGGGCACATTACTTATTATGTAATATGTAGTCTTATAGTTTCAGGGGGAAAAGAGAGGCTAGACATAACTGAATAGAAAACATAGCTTAAGTATAGAACTGTGCATGTGTATATACACACACATATAAAAAGCTATGCAGTATTTCATTTTATTAATCTCCTAAATTAATTTTTTCCCTGTAATGAGATTTTGGGGTTTTATTTTTATTTTTTAGTTTGTTTTTTAATGTTATAAACAGAGCTATATTGAACATCTTTGTACCTCCAGGCATATTGACTATTGTTTTCTTAAGGTAAATCACTAAAAAGTTTGTTGGGTCCAGGTATGCATCTTTTCAAAATGTTGGATAGCTCCCAAATTCATAAACCTAGCATAATTTTAATATTTAAATCTAATAAAGATAAAAGGCAAACTCTGCAGTAATCTTATATATGACTATAGGTTTTAAAACTTTTAAATAGAAATTAATAAATATAATTCAGGAAAATGAGGGGGAACCCCCTGCAAAAAAAAACCCAAATTATGTTCTGGAGGGCAGGCCCATTGTGGTATAGGCTTCCCCCACTAGGTGAGTGTTCTAGGGAACCCATCTGTATCAGCTGGTATTGTGTACTATCTGGTATTATTGTGAGAGGCTGCATTCGGCTTCAGCGAACTTTTTTTGAAGACTCTTTCAATAAGTTTGCCCATTTCATGATGGGTGATTTACAAGTGCACCTGCCCACACCATGTTGAGTGTTCAGTTTTGGGCCCAAAATGGCATGACCCCCATGCCCCACCTTCTCTATTCCCCTGATCTTGCCTGAGCAACCTTTTTTTTTTGTTTTTCTGGATGAAAAAGGTCAAAGGGAAACATTTTGCTGATGTGGAAGAGGTGAAACAAAAAACAGCAGAAGCACTAAGATGCATCGACATTGAGGAGTTCAAAACTGTTTTGAGCACTGGGGAAAAAGTCTTGATTAGGTGTATTGCATCAGCTAGAGAGTACTTTGAAGGTGACTGAAATTTAAACATGTAAGAATAAAATACAATTTTTTTAAAATAAATTTTTTTTTATTTTGGGTCCCTCCTTATATATTAAAAGAGTAATATGCCATGACTAAACAGAACTTATTTACTGGAATGGAAGAGAGGTTCCATGTGAGGCAATATATTGGTCTTTTTTTTTCCTCAGTGGTCCCAATTTAGCCTACTGGCCATTAGTTTGCATTTTGGGTCTGCATCTTAAACCTCTTTACTACATAATAAACTTTGTGAAAGGTTGTATACTTTAACTCTTTGTCACACTTGCTGATTATGTGTTGTTGATTCAGAATTTTCCAGCTCTTGGAAGGCACATATTTCTAGAGTCTGCATGGGTTTACAGCTCCCAGATACACTTATAACCCTGCTTTGGGGGGCTTATCTTTTTCCTCCCAGAACTGATGTTTGCAGAGTACATTATCACACATAACGGTTTAGTTTAAATGTTTTGTATACTAGAGCCAGTTCATACTTGTACTAAAAAGGTACTAAAATCCTTCCCAAAACAAACTACTGTCGTAGAGTCATTGCACACATATAAGGAATAATTTGTGCTTATTGGAGTTCTTTTAACAATCACATTTATAATCTCAAAGCCAATAGTTTTGCTTTCTGAACTGTGTTCACACAATGATAAATCAACCAGTGACTATTTATTGACCAACAAATCAAGGAGAAAAACCTTATGACATATCAATAGACAGTGTAAAGGACTTTGAAAAATCCAGCAGCTAGTTCATTACAAAAGCTCTTAAAATAAAATATGGACATATAAAAATATCTCTTAAATATAATAGATTATTTAACAAAAACCAAGAATAAATATCATAAACTACAAATAAATAATATTAGTTAAAATAGAAAATTGCTAATAAATGGAGATGTAGCAAATACAACAAGAGAATGAGAACTTTTAAGACTTTAGAAGAGAAAAACTCACAGGTGATATGATTTATATATTTGAAAATACTGGGAGATTTTAGTAAATTAACCACACCTCCAGAAACTACCAGGTTTAAAATAATTCCCTGAGGTGGCTGAATTTTAAGGTAAGTATTCAAAACTCATTAGGTTTCTTCTTTTATAGCAGGTATTTGAAACTAGAAATGCTTGGAGGGGCCTAGTTCCATTTTAAATAGTGGTAAAATTACACATTAGCCTGGGAATAATCTTGACAAGAAAAAAAATAGGTATATGGAAAAAATGGTTGTCTTCTTGAAACACAAAAAATAGGATCTGAACAGTGGAAAAGCACACCACATTTCATTTGAAGATAGAAAGTTACATTATTTGAAAAGTAAAATATGAATTTAATGCATTTTGATTATAGTACTGATAGTTCCCGTCCCCCCCCCATTGGTCAGAATTTTTATAAGGTTTACCTGAAAAAATAAATGTTTACGAAAAAAACAAAAAAGAAAAACAATAAGAATAGTGAAAGAGAATTAATTGCCTTACTAGCCATTGCCTTTATAACCAGTGTATGAGGTCTGTCTGAAAAAAGTCCAGCCATTGTTAATATAATGGGAATGGTTTGCACGATGTTGATGTAACCTGGCAGCCAAGGAGGATTGGAATGTGTGTACATGAACAATGATGACTTCACCGTACTAGTCAGTGGGGGCAGTAGGTGCTATTGAATGAGCATGTATATTGTGGAACCATCACATTCAAAATGAGTGAGTAGAGGAACAAATACACATCAAATTTTGCATTAAGCTTGAACATTCCTCCATGGAAACTATTTAGATGATTCAGAAGGCCACAGCTATGGGCAAATGGTGATTGGCAGCCTCATTACAACTCTCCTATTCATGCATCATGTCTCCAGAGTTTTTTGGCAAAGCATCAAATCACCCAGGTTACTCAGCCCCCCTGTAGCTCAGATTTGGTACCCTATGATTTCTGGCTTTTCCCCAAACTAAAATCACCTTTAAAAAATTAGATTTCAAACCATTGGTGAGATTTTTGAAAATACAATGAGGCAGCCAACAGTGATTGGTAGAACTGTGTGAGTCCCAAGGTGCCTACTTTAAAGGGGACTGAGGTATCATTGTCCTGTGTACAGTGTTTCTTGTATCTTGTATCTTCTTCAATAAATGTCTCTATTTTTCATATAACATGTCTGGATACCTTCTGAACAGATCCTGTATACTTAAATAAGGGTGGTTTTTATAGAGTAGACAAATCAGCATATTTAGTCCCAAAATACATGAAAATTTTTATGCATGGCAAGCTTATAATTTAAACAGACATATAATAAAAGGTTTTTTTAATTTTTAATTGACTTTTAGAGAGAGAGAAAAACATTTATCTGTTGTTACACTGATTTATGCATTCATTGATTAATTCTTTTACATGCCCAGACTAGAGATTGAAACTTCAACTTTAGCATATCAGGATGATGCTCTAACTACCTGAGCTACCTGGCCACAGCTAATAAAAGATAGTGGTACAACTGGTTTCTATCAAGAAAAAGTTAAGTTTATCCTCTGTCTCATACAACATAGAGAAATAAATTTCAGGTGGATTAAAAATTTATAAAATCAACCAAAATTTTAGAAAACAGCCCTGGCTGGTGTGGCTCAATGTGTTGAGCATTGGCCTCTGAACCAAAAGTTTGCTGGGTTCAATTCCCCATCCAGGCACATGCATAAGTGGCAAGCCAGGACCCCAGTGGGGTATGACAGAGGCAACCAACCAATCAGTGTTTCTCTCACACATCAATGTTTCTCTCCCTCTCTTTGTCCCTCTCTTCCTCTCCCTCTCTAAAAAAAAATAATAAAAAAATTAAAAGTTAAGTAAAATAAATAAACAAATAAAAACATGTACGAGATAGGGGCAGGAGACCATCTTAAATAAGACTGGAAACCCAGAAACTATAAAAGATGTATATTTTGCTAATAGTAATCATTTTAACTGTAGAATTAAATACTTTAAATAAAGCACTCCTTAAATTAACAATAAAAAATAAACAGTAGAAAAATATTAAAGAATATTTGTAGGATTATTGACTGAAAGAAATTTAAAAGGGTACATTCTTTGTTTTTATGATCTACATCAGACAGTGGGGAAGTTCTGTCATAGTGGAGAGAGTTAAAAGGAAAGAAGAGGGTAATTTGAAAAATAAAATTTTAAAAGCACAAAATGTTGAATTTATGCATGTAATGTAAATGTACTTAAATGAATAAGTTACATTTCAAAAACTTGGGAAGTCACTGAAAATAACTGTCAGTGATTAGCTTATAAAAACAGAGGGAGGCACTTCACAGTGGTGAAGTTGTGGCCCCAGCAGCAGTGTAGGACACACCAAAAAAGATCAAGCTGAATGATAGTAGTCTCATTGTCTGTATAGTCTACTCATTTGAAGATTGTAGTTATGCCTTATGTTGAACCAGTTGTTTGAAGTAGGCTTATTTTTCGTTTTAAGTAGAAAGTTCAAGTGGATGTATATTAATATATGTATCAGTATTTAAATGCTATTTTAAATACTTTTTCCCCAAAACAATTGAAGGTATTAATAACAGAACATGGTGACGTGGGAAATGGAAAGTTTTTGGATCCAAAAAACAGAATCTGTTTCAAATTTGATCACTTAAGAAAGGAAGCAACAGACCCAAGACCATATGAAGCAGAGAATGCAATTGAATCATGGAGAACTTCAGTAGAAACTGCCCTACGAGCTTACGTAAAAGAACATTATCCAAATGGGGTCTGCACTGTAAGTCATCAGTGTGTACCTTTTTCTTCTACCTTATGTAAATACTACAGTGTTTTTATGATCTGAAATTAACAGTAACTTGCAGAACTGACATTTTGTGTCTCAGTAAATATTTTTTTAAATGTTTTATTTCTTATTTCTTTCATATTCGTTCATAAGTTTAAGCTATTTTTTTTCAGGATGAAATATATTAGAAACTATGAGGGCTTTCTTTTTTCTTTCATAAGATTGTTTGCCCTCAGATAGGCTTTTTAGTCCCCCACAGTTTGTCTCTGCTTCTATGATCTCCGTAGCTGGAGTAATCCTTTGAAATGCCAATCAGATCCTGAAAATCTCCTGCTTAAAATCTTCACCGATACACCATTGCACTTAAATATAGAAACTAGGCTTTTGAACATGGCCTTCAAGGCCCTATGGACCTGGCCTTTGCCTACCTCTCCAACCTAAGGTGACCATTTATACCTGCTGTCCCATCATAATTGTTAATATTACCAAAAGAACTCTATTTTACTCAGAAGTTTCCTAGTTAAAACAAAAATGCATATGGTACTCTTTAAGTATCTACTTTTCAGTAATTATTTGAAAAATAGAGCCACACAGCCTGTAATACCTTGTAAGTTCTTTGAATTATAACTTTGTTGATTAGGATTATTTTGAAAGAATAACTCAAAAAATATGGTGATTAGGTTGAGTTGGAGTGTCCTTATCTGTTGCTGGGGGATTGAAAGGCACAATTTAATCATTACTTTTAAAACAGTAGGCAGGAGATAAAATAACATCGTCATAGCATCATAGGCATTTTCTTAACAACCTTTCTTAGTTATAAGTAAATTGACTTTATCCAGATGCCTTTTTAAATGACCAGAGAAATTGCAATTCCAAAGATTGTGAAATAAACAAAGATAATGACAATCTAGGTCCAGTTTTTATTTGTGTGGAAACAGCCAGATTGGTGTCTATATATTTATTTCTCATGATACTGGTATTTGGAATGAGAAATACGGTATTATAGAATGTTTGTGACTACTTTTAGAGTACAATCAGTTTTACTCAGTAAATTGTATTTTATTTTGAGTTCTTTTATGATCAAGCAAGAATCTGTGATTAAATGTACATATTTGAGTATTATATGTTCCTGCTAAAGTGCTTATAATTTTCAGTATTTTGTGGATGTTTGAAGTTGGACTTTCTGTGGCCTTAAATTCACTCTTATGTTTGTTTTCTTTACTGTCAAGGTATATGGTAAAAAAATAGATGGACAGCAAACCATTATTGCATGCATAGAAAGCCATCAGTTCCAAGCAAAAAATTTTTGGTAAGTTAAAATTTTTGTGTATTGGGGACTTTTGACATGGTTTATATTTTTGTAAAAGATTCTTGCCCTATCCCTTCTTTGCGTGTGATTGACTAAGAGCAATCTAAACATAATATAAAACTTCAGCCTTTTTATGACCCAGAGATTTCACTTCTGCATATCTGAAGAAATCCAAAATACTGATTGGAAAAAAATATATGTACCTCTTTGTTCATTGTAGTTATTTACAATAGCCAAGATATAGAAGTCCCCCAAGTGCTCATCAGTATATGAATGGATTAAAAAGGTGTGGTACATATATACAATGGAACATTATTCAGCCATAAAAAAGAATGAAGTCTTACCATATGTGACAGCATGGGTGGACCAGGAGGATATATTATGCTCAGCACAATTAGGTAAAAAATATGAGGAGGTCCCCCCCATAAAAAATGGGAACTATCATCTGGAGGGCAGGCCCCTTGTACAGGGACCCATCTGTGTCAGTGTACCAGCTGGGGTTGTGAGAGGCTATATTTGGCTACAGTGAGATTTTTTTTTGAAGACTCTTTTAACACATTTGGCCATTTCGTGAAGGGTGATTTATGAGTGTACCTGCCCTTGCTGTGCTGTGTGTTCAGCAGTTTTTGACCAAAAACACCATGATAACCCCCCTGCCTCATTCTCCCTATTCACTCGATCTTTCTCTGAGCAACTGTGTTTTGTCTCCCCTGATGGAAAAAAAAGTCCTCAAAAGGAACCATTTTGTTGATATGTGGAAGAGGTGAAACAAATAACAGCAGAGGCACTAAAAGGCATCAAAATTGATGAGTTCAAAACCTGTTCTAAGCAGTGGAAAAAAAGTCTCAGTAGGAGTATTGCATCAAATGAAGAGTACTTTGAAGGTGGCTGAAGTTTAAACACGGATAAATACATAATGTTTTATAAATAAACTCTGGGGTTTGTTTGGGTCCACCCTCATACCATATATGATTTCACTTATTTGTGAAACTTACAGAGAAAACATGGAACAAACAAAATTAAAACAGACTCATGGACACAGAAAGTTAATTGGTGGTTGCCAGAATGGAAGGGTATTGAAGGACTGGATGAAAGAGGTGAAGGGAGTTAAGAGGTACAAATTTGTAGTTACAAAGTAGTCAGGGGGATGTAAGTAAAGCATAGGGTATACAGTCAATAATATTTTAATAACTATATGGTGCCAGTTGGCATACTGGAAATATCAAGAGGAATACACTGTATATAAAGTATATGATTGTCCAACCACTGAGCTGTATACTTGAAACCCATACAAAATAAATTGCGGGTAGGGATCTTCAGTCTTTTGATACAAGAACAGTATCTGCTTTATAATCAGCCTATTTATTTAAAGGTAACAGTAAATCCATTCACACTCAATGAAAAGAGCATGGGAAGAGTGTTGGGTGTTTTTAGAGACTAGCAAGCAGCATCCTAAGGGAACACGTATGCCTGCAAGCAGACCAGTGGGAGGCCCATATGCTCATCCTGAAAAGGAGTTGTTTCTTGAGTGAGACATACATGAGGGGTGAGAACAGAGGTAATTATAGAGTGAATATTTATGATTCTTTTTGTGAACTTTAGGGGCGCTGAATTAGATAATTTTTATGTGGATTGCCTTGTGCCTGGTTAGCCAATGTGAGGGAGTAATGACATACTTTATTACGCAATGAGGCATATTACAATCATACCTTACAAGTTGTAGACAAGTCAGTCAATTATTCCTTAGAAAAGTCTAGTCCCCCAAAGCACTGGCTTGCCCTGTTAATCTTTGATATCTAACAAGTTATTAGGCCTTTTTATTTTTAGACAAGACTGTTCCTGAGGTATCTTCTCTTAAAAAATTGTGAGGTTCTCCAAGACTTTATAACTTCAGAATGAAATGAAATCCTTACCTTTGTATACCCCTTTTTAGTTAATACATGCTGTGGTTATCAGAGTAAGCGTGGTCATGATATTTAGTTTTTAGTATATTAGTCTTTGACTTGTTAGCCAGGTTGGTTGGTTGTGCTCCTGAGGTATCAGTAACCCCTGTGGACCACTTAGGTCTGTGGTCCAAGCTTGCTTCATTACTTAACCATCTCAAATAAATGCAAGGTTACAATGTTAAACAGGAACATTTGGAAGAATGCAGATACATTATCACTGAGGGGAAATCAACTTCATATGTAAACATAGGTGTTAATGACAAGCTACAGTCACTTAAAGATTATGGTGTACAAAGTTACTTTTATTGACTTAATGTAAAGGTGATTTCTTCATTTTAGGCTTAAAAACTTGTACCATTAATCTACCAGTATACTAAAGAAATAAATTTGTACTAAATCATTATTAATTTATACTCTTTGTGCCAGGATATATATAATAAAATCAATCTTATTGAAATCATACTACTTAAGGGAAAATTCTTGTTACTAAGTTTTACCTTAAAGTATACCGGAGATACTATAGTAAATTGACTACAGTATTTTGCCATGTGTAATGCACTCCCTTATCTAATGTGCATCCATGTTTTTTGCCCAAACTTTTAGGAAAAAAATTTGTCATTTTAATTTTTTAATTCAACTTTTTATTTAGTATTTAGAAACAAAACCAATTATTGTATTCTCAGGTATTATTTTGCCTATGGATATCATTATTGCTTCCTAGAGTTATGCTTTTAATGCATAAGTGTAAATAAAAATTAAAAGCATTTATGTAAATACAGAATTAGTTCTACCCATGTATATAATGAGCATCCTTATTTTAAAATTTGGGCCAAAATTGCACATTATACACAGCAAAATACAGTAATTAATTTTAAAAATATAATTTATTTGAGTTTTACCATATGTAAAATGAAGAGAATGTCTGTTCTTGAGTTTTCTGTTCTCATTATTTCACTTTGCATATTTGAATTTTTTTTTCCTAAACTACCACTCTGAATATTACATCATTGAAGTTAAAAATGATTTCCATTTCCACTTTTTGGAAAAGAGAAAATTTATGATACTCCAAAATGCTAAGTATACATATCACAGTGATCTCAGTAAAACAATAAAATCTAAATATTTTGGTAATAGAAATACACTTTAATTCACCAATAGTAGAGAGAACAAAAACCAGAAAAAAACTAGTCATGGATGTTCTGTAGATTTCACTAGGGACAGTCTCTTCTTGGTCTCTATGATTTCCCTAATGTCTAGTTGTATTGGAGACTTAATAAAGGCTTTTTGAATGAAAACATTTGTAATTACAGTGTTAATTGAAGGGAAGAGAAGAATATAATGAAAGGCTAGGAATCTCGACTGCTTACAATATTGATGAAAGGGTACTATCTGCTCGGCATCATTTACCAATACTATATAATCATGTCTGTGGAACGTCCTTTGAAATAGTTCTCAGTATTGGCAAGTGTGGCCCAGTCAGTTGGAGCACTGACCCATAAACCAAAAGATTGTGGGTTCTATTCCAGTCAGGGCACATGCTTTGGCTGTGATTCAATCCCTGGTAAGGGCACTGTGGGAGGCAACCCATTGATGTTTCTCTCCCTCTCTTCCTCCTTTCCCCTCTCTAAAATCAATAAGCACATTCTCAGGTGAGGATAACAAATAAATAGATAGATACATAGATAGATAGATAAATAAATAAATAATAAATTAACAAAAAATGAAATAGTTCTCAAATTGGTCCCATTGCTTGATTTGGAATTTACTCCTTTTCACAATCAGTGATATATGCATATTGTCATAATAAATCAGAACTCTACATGCCTAGAACTCATTAGTGCTTGATACTAATACCTAAATGAAAGGAATAACTTCTTCTGGAATCATGAAATAAAATGAAGGGACCTAGATTCCACCTGAGTTTCTGTGGATAATTTTGGATGAGTCTCTAAAAGTCAAGATATGTTACATAGTTCTCTTTTATTTTGTACAACATATACATTGTTCTAATAATAGCACTCTTCAAATGTTAAGTGTTAAGTTTAGGTATTAGTGTCATCATTCTACAGATTTTCATGATTGGCTCAACTGTAAGAATATTGAAAAGAACCCATACATAATTTTATACCAAAGCCAGTGTAGTGCTCTATTAGCCCTGTGATTATTTTAGGAATATATACTGTTCAGAAAAAAGTTAAGAGTTACAGATTTGCATATTAGAATATCTTTAGCATGCAGAGAGCAAATAAAGATCAAAAGTAAAGGAGTTGCTATGAAAAGGCCATTAATAAAAAAAGGATAAATTCAATTCATTTTGTGGGAGACAAAATGACTAACATACCTGTTGCTTGTTTGTAACACCACAATTTCCTACCATAATGAATATTTATTAATTTGTATACTGAAAATTATTTCAAGAAGTAGGAAGAGGATGTGCCTTTTAAGTGAAAATTTTAAATCTAACATTAGAAAAGGTGGTGGGCAGGGAATCTGATGCTTATAATTCTTTATAGCTCTTCTCTTTCCAAACTTCAAAATCTTAAGAATGTCATTGTACTATCCATCTTTTTAAATTATTTGGTACTTGTATTACTCAGTGGATGTTAAACTATATTGACTGTATTTGCAAAAGCCCCTGATAATCTGAATGTTTATTCATTTTATTCTTAATTAAAATATAAGTGAGTCAATTGAAGAAGTAGCTTAAAGTTTTTCTCTAAAAGTATCACATATTTTAGTATAATGAATGCCCATCATCCATCCCCAAGATTTTCTCTTACTGTACCATTAAATTTAAATCTGGAACTTAAAATTTTTATTCACATTATTTTCCCTACCCATTTACAGCTGCTGTTTTTATTTTTAAGGAATGGGCGTTGGAGGTCAGAGTGGAAGTTTACAATCACTCCTTCAACTGCTCAGGTGGTTGGCATTTTGAAAATTCAGGTATGAAATAAAAAGAATTTGTTTATTGATCTTTTAATGATCCTGAATAGAAAAATAACTGATTCATAAGTTTACATTTTCATGATACCTAATAACCATTTCTTTTTTTCAGATCTTCATGTCGAGGTAATGGGAAAAACAAGTAGTGCTGATTTCACCTTTTTAATAACCTTGTAGTTCATTCTCTATATTCATAAAAAATCTGCAGGGACAGCCAACAGAGTCTAAAAATACAACTAAAATTACGTGCTATTATTTGGTCTTCTGTTTATATAATTTGTTCATATAAGCATCTTCTGTTATCTTGAGTAGAGTAGGGTGAAGTATATTAATATATGCATGTTTAGATTTGTAAGTATATGTATTATATATGTATATTAATATATGTACACAATATATATGTAAGTATTTTCTATATGAAATACATTAGAACTGAATTCTTTGACTTTTAATGTAAACTCAAATGTTTATAAAGAAGAGACCAAATATTTCAATATAGGTACTACTAAATAAGTTAAAGGAAAATACTAACCTTTTTCTGTCTTGATTCACACATTTATTCAACACATTTGTTGATCAGCTATCATGAAAGGTACTATGCCAAGAGCCATAAAGAAATAAAGATGAATTTGGTGTTCCAATTTACATTTCTAATTCCTAGTCTTACATCCTAATACTTTTATGTCTTGGTGACCATCCCTTAGGGCACAGGTGGTAAACACAAGACCTGCAGACTGAATCCAGCCCTCCACCTTTTTATCTCTTTTTAATATATTTTATTGATTATGCCATTACAGTTATTCTATTCCCCCCCTTCATTCCCCTCCACCCTGCACACCCCCTCCTCCACCACCCCCCCTTTAGTTTATGTCCATGTGTCACAAGTTCTTTAGATTCTATATTTCCCATACTATTCTTGCCCTTCCCCCTATTTTCTACCTACCGTCTATGCTATTTATTTTCTGTACCTTCTCTCCCCTTCTCCTCCCACTCCTCTATTGCTAACCCTCCATGTGATCTTCATTTTTATGGTTCCTCTCCTGATCTAGCTGTCCTCTTAGTTTGCTTTTGTTTTAGGTGTGGTTCTTAATAACTGTGAGTTTGCTGTCCTTTCACTGTTCATCTTTTTTAATCTTCTTTTTCTTAGATAAGTCCCTTTAACATTTCATATAATAAGGGCTTGGTGATGATGAACTCCTTGAATTTGACCTTATCTGAGAAGCACTTTGTCTGCCCTTCCATTCTAAATGAAAGCTTTGCTGGATAGAGCAATCTTGGGTGTAGGTCTTTGAATTTCATGACTTGGAGTACTTCTTTCCAGCCCCTTCTTGCCTGTAAGGTCTCTTTTGAGAAATCTGCTGACAGTGTGATGGGAACTCCTTTGTAGGTGACTGTCCCCTTATCTCTTGCTGCTTCTAGGATTCTCTCCTTCATTTTAATCTTGGCTAATGTAATGATGATGTGCCTTGGTGTGTTCCTTCTTGGGTCCAACTTCTTTGGGACTCTCTGAGCTTCCTGGATTTCCTGGAAGTTTATTTTCTGTGCCAGATTGGGGAAGTTCTCTTTTATTATTTGTTCAGATAAGTTTTCCACTTGTTGCTCCTTCTCTTCCCCTTTTGGTACCCCGATAATTCAGCTGTTGTAACGTTTAAAGATGTCCTGGAGGTTCCTGAGGCTCTCATTGTTTTGAATTTCTATTTCTTCATTCTTTTCTGTTTGGTCATTTTTGTCTTCCTTCTGGTCCACTCCTTTGATTTGAGTCTGAGTTTTCTTTCCATCACTATTGGTTTCCCGTGCATTTCCCTTCATTTCAATTAGTTTAGCCTTCATGTGTTCCTCTAATTTGTGACTAAAATCAACCAGTTCTGTGAGGATCCTGATCACCAGTGTTTCGAACTGTGCATCTGATAGGTTGGCTATGTCTTGGTTGCTTAAAAGTATTGGCTCTGGGGCTTTGATTTGTTCTTCTGCTTGAGCCATAATATTTTGGTCTGTTTACGCCTGTTACATATGAGGGGCAGAGCCTTAGGTGTTCACTAGGGTGGGGTGACCCAGTAACTGGGTTGTGACACTGTATGTGGGGGCAGGGTCAGAGAGGGGCAGTGGCGTTTGTTCTGCTCTCTCTCGGATTTCGGTCCCCTCTGCTGCTTCCCACAAGCAAACGGGGCCCCCCCTGGTGCCCGCCCCCCAGGAGTGTGGGGGCCTCTGCACCCTCTAGGACCCTGTGGGTCTCTCCAGCAAACTCTCTTTGAGCCTGGGAGCTTCTCCCAGCACCTCAACCCCGAGAGTTTTTCCAATTGGTGCTTTTAGGCTTTAATTCCTGTCGTTGGGGCCCTAGCCTGCGTGGTCTGTCTTACTGCTCACTCTTTCACCTGGTTTATCTAAGTGTGAATGTGTGATCGAGGTCAGCCAGCCGCCTTGCACCCCCACTGGTTCACCCATTGCCACCCCATTCCTGGGATCTGCCAGCTGCCGCCTGTGCACCTGGGTCAGTCCGGTCTGGCCGCTTTTTCCTGCGAGACCTGCTCCACCAGCTGCTGACTCTGCCCCTCTTACTGGTCTGGACAAATGATTTGGTATTGTCGGACTTCGGTACAGTTCAATTTTCCATGTTTTGGTTGTGTTTTTGTTACTAAAACTTTGTTGTCTTTAAACTTGGTTGTATGAGGAGGCACAGTGTTTCCATCTACGCCTCCATATTCTTCCTCCTTGTTGTATCCAGCCGGGCACGTTGTTTCTACCTGGCATCAGCACCGGGCTCTTTGCCCCTAGTTAAGGAGTAGTTACATTTATAGTCATAAAATTACATTTGGCCCTTTGGCCTTTGCAGGCAACCTTGAGGCTGATGTGACCCTGGTAAAAATGAGTTTAACACCCCTGCCTTTGGGGCTAGAGAAATGAGATGAAGAGCTTGGATTTTGAAATCAGACTGCCTGAGTTTGAATCCCAGCGCTGCCACTTACTAGTTTTATGATATTAGGAAGTCATTTAAACTTTATGTTTATTTCCTCATTAGCTTAAAAAAAATCTCATGTGACTATTTAAAGATTAGATTATATGGATAAAATGGTTACAATAGAAGCAGACATAAAGTGCTTAATGAGTGGTAGCCATTTTTGTTGACATTCTTCCCTTGGTTAGGCCTCAGCAGCTCTTAGCTTAATAATTTGTCAGATGGACCAAATAGGTAATAATTTGCCTGTTGGACCAAAGCTTGTTGAGAGCCAAGATTGTCTGATTCACAGTTCTGTCTTCAGCACTTAGTATCATGCCTGGCATGTAACTGTTACTTTATTTTGTTTGAATTGCTGGACCTTTTGCCATTTCCTAATCTATTTTTTTCCACACTGCCATCAAGAAAGATGATTTTTTAAATTTAAATCTGTATGTTACTTATCTGTTTGCTATCTTACCTATTACATAGTCCAGGCATATTTAAGTGGCATTCAGACCCAAAGTTAACTTGTTCTCTACCTATATATATTTCTCCAGCCACTCTTCTCCCTCCCTGACCTCACACATTCCATCCACTAGAATCTCCAAGCCTGCCTACAGTTTGCTGTTCTCTTAAGTTGTTTCCTTATCTTCCTTGATTAGTCAGTCATTTTGCTAAAGCTGAGTGCAGTGGTGCCTCTTCTTTGAAGTCCTTTTTTAATGCTTAGATAGAGTCTGGAGTATTACTAATTAGTATTACTAATGTACTGTGTACATTTTTTATGTTGTATCGAAATATGAGTTTAGGAACTGTCCTTTTAAAAGCTAGGTATCCGGTCCTGGCTGGTCATGGCTCAGTGGACTAAGCACCAGCCTGAGAAACAAAGGGTCACTGGTTCAATTCCAAGTCAGGGCACATGCCTGGGTTGTGGGCCAGGTCTCCAGTAGGGGCCACGCAAGAGGCAACCAAACGCTGATATTTCTCTTCCTCTTTTTCTCCCTCCCCTCCTCTCTACCTAAAAATAAATAAATTAAAAATTTTCAAAAATTATAGCCACTCCAAATAAATAAGTAAATAAATAAATGCTATGCATCCCTTGAACTTCTTAATAGGAGGCATATGTAGTAATCACTCAGTTAATGTTTAGTGAATGAATTCATGTCTTTGAATTTGAGAAGTTGCGTGTTTGGTAGAAGTACACAAAAGAGGAGCAGTCATAAAAGGAGGGAGTTTAGGAGGGAGTATTCCGAGGTCAATTTTGGAAATCTTGAGTTTAGGTACTAGCAGAATATCTGAGATAAAAATGCCCAGCAGTTAGGTCAGCGGAGGGCTTGCCTGAGTAATTGCTGGAACTGCTAACTAGTCTTCTCCCTAGATTGAAGGCAGGAAGTCTTGCTGAGGTTTGAAAAGTCAGGAGTTTATCAAAGAAGTCTAGGTTAGAGCTGAAATTAATAATCATCTACAGTCGATGTTACTGTTGAAGCCATGTGGATCTTGATGGTTCTCACCTATAATATGATTTCTTTAATTTCTTTTTTAATAGGTCCATTATTATGAAGATGGTAATGTTCAACTAGTGAGTCATAAAGATATACAAGATTCCCTAACAGTGTCTGTAAGTAATTAAATGTAAAATAAAATTTAAATATCCCAGTACTTCTATAAAACCAGAACAGTTTTGGAAGTAACATTTTAAGTAATATTTCTGCTTTAGATTAAGTGTTTTCAAGTAGATTAAAGATTGGTAAGTAACGGAAATTGACACCTAACTTTTTTAACAGCTTTATTGAGATATAATTCATATACCATTCAATTTACCCAGTTAAAGTGTAAAATGCAGTGCTTTTTAGTATATTAAGAGGATTGTGCAGTAATCAACATAGTCTAATTTAGAGCATTTTTGTCCTCTAGAAATCCAGTACCCATTATCAGTTGCTCCCATTTCCCACTCTCCAAACCACTCTCAAGCCTGGGCAACCGCAAATTGATTTTCTGACTGTGGATTTGCCTATTCTTGGCCTTTCATATGGAACCCTACAATACATGGTCTTTTGCGACTGGCTAGTTTCACCTAGTTTAATGTTTTCAGGGTTTGTCCTTGTAGGAGCATGTAGCAGTATTCCATGCTTTTTTATTGCCAAATAATATTCTATACACCACATTTTATGTAGCCATTTATTAGTTGCTGAATATTTGTGTTATTTTCTATTTTTTGCTGCTGTGAACTTTCATGTACTACTTTTTGTGCAGGCATTTGTTGTAATTTCTCTCTCGTATATATGTGGCAGTGGAATTGTGGGGTCACATTGTAGTTCTACCTTTAACCTTTTGAAAAACTGCCAGACAGTACTTCCAAAGTGGCTGCACCATTTTAAATTGCCATCAGTTGTAAATGAAGGTTCCAGTTTTCCACATCCTCACCAAATGTATGTCTTTTTGATCATAGCCACCCTAGTTGGTATGAAATGGTATCTCATTGTGGTTTTTATTTATATATTCCTGACAGAAAATGATAATGAGCATCTTCTTATATATTTATGGGTCACTTACATATTGAAAATTTCTATTCAGATCTTTTGCATATTTCATGATTGGTAGTTTGTGTTTTTATTGTTGAGTTGTAATTGTTGCTTATATATTTTGGATATAAAACTATCAGAAAAATGATTTGCAAATATTATCTCCCACTCTGTGTCTCTTCACTTTCTTCCTAGTATTGTTTGTACAACAAAAGACTTCAGTTTTGATGAGTGGTTTTTTTCTTTTGTTATTTACGTTCTTGATATATTAATAGAAGCCTTTGCTTAACCCATGGTCATGAAGATTTACCTTGAGTGTTTTCTAAGAATTTTATAGCTTTAGCTCTTAAATTTACATCTCTGGTCCTCTACTTAAACCTTATGTTCGTAGTGTTTGCTTTTTTTTACCCTCTGTTGAGATTATGATTTAATGAAGTTTTTCTAAAATTCAGCTTTCAAATTCAAGAAATTTTTAACTTAGTTTTATTTCCCTGCAGTTTGTCACACATTTTTTCCATTGCATGTGTAGCTAGCTTTCATGGTAGAATTGCTTTGCTTCAAGAATGTTAATATAACGTTAACATGACGTTTTCCCATAAACATGTGTATTGTGTACCTGAAAGTACCATTCAGTAAAATTTAAACATCAACTGCTGATACACAGAATTAGCTGTTTTACAAATACTAAGGAAAATTTCATTTTCAATGTAAGAAAGCACTTAACATTAAGAAACATCTGAATGTGTTGTTAAGCCAAATGCTACCTAAGAAGAAAGCTGTCTTTTTTTTTTTTTTTTAGTTTTCATTAGTACTCAGGTGATTTCAGCTTTTTTTGCTAAGTAGTACTCTTTTTACTAAATTTGCCAGTAAAAGCAACTTACAAATTTCAATGTTTTTCCATAAGACATTGTATTCAGTATAGTTCTATATCATGAGTATATATGCAACATTATTTGCTTACCAGGATACTTGGTTATTATCCTCTTTGGGGACCTTGACATTGGGCAGAAATTCTTCCTAAGAGACATTTGTCTACATTTATAGACTGGAGTTGTGAGAGGTAGTTATTATAGTAAAATGATGTGTCAAATTTGTGCTGAGCTTTTTAGGAATATGTTTTTCACTTTATCAGTTGTTTTATTATTTTTAGACAGAGATAAATGCACCCATTATAGATATGTAAATATATATGTGTAAATATATTGGTTTGACCAAAATGTCCATTTAGTTTTTTGTTTTTGTTTTTGTTTTCATAAAAAACACATTTTTCATCTTTCACCAATAACTTTATTGATTTTGGATATTTTGAGTATGTTGGCTATCTCCCAAGTGGTATACTGTTGATTGTTCTCCATTAATGTCTACATTTGATCGCTATCAACTTCAACTGCTCTGCCTGACTGTGGACCATTGTCCAGCGAGAAATCTCCAGCATGAAACTTCACAGACCACCTTTGACACATTCCATCAGTCACAGCACCTTCTCTACACATACAATGCACAAAACTTTCGCATTTCAGTTGTGTTTTTATCATTCTTGAAATAATAAAACATGATATGCCAAAAATGTTGTGTATTTCCATCCTCAGTGTTAAAATGGCAACCCAGAAATTCACCAATTTTGATACTTTTTAAAAATATATATGCTGATATGACAGCAGTTATAATACAGTGTAACAAAATTGTTTTGAATGAGATTAAAGTCATCTAAGTGTACTAGAGTCTTCTTATGGGAAAAAAACAAGTGAACTTTTTGGTCAGTCCAATATATAATTGACTCTTAAACAATGTGGAGATTAGAGGTGCTGAACTTCTTCACAGTTGAAGTTTGCATGTAACTTTTTATTCCCCCAAAACTTAACTACAAATAGCCTGCTCTGGACCAGAAGCCTTACCGATAACATAAATAAATAACACATATTTTGTATGTTATATTTATTGCATACTGTATTTTACAGTAAACTAGAGAAAACGTTAAAATAAAGAAGAGAAAATACATTCAAAGTATTGTGCGTATTTACTGAAAAAAAATCCAAATGTAAGTAGATCCACACAATTTCAAAGCCATGTTCAAAGGTCAACTATAAATAATAATACATAAAATAGTATTTGAGAATTTTATATTAACACTGTCTTATACTACAAAAGTCTAGATTTCCATTAAATTTACTGTTAGCAAAAGAAAACCTGTATATTAGAAGATTTTTTTTAATTTTCAAAAAATATTTAAACACTGCAGTAAATTCACCTTAAATTAAAATGTGCTTTTCCTAATTGGGAATTTTTTTTTAACTTAAAAAATTTTTATTAATTATGCCATTACAGTTGTTCTATTCCCCCCTTCATTCCCCTCCACCCTGCACACCCCTCCCCCACCATTCCCCCTCTTTAGTTTATGACCACATGTTTCAAGTTCTTTAGATTCTATATTTCCCATACTTTTCTAGCCCTCCCCTTATCTATTTTCTATCTACCATCTATGCTACTTATTTTCTGTACCTTCTCCTCCCATTCCCCTGTTGCTAACTCTCCATGAGATCTTCATTTCTATGGTTCTGTTCCTGTTCTAGCTGTCCTCTTAGTTTGCTTTTGTTTTAGGTGTGGTTTTTAATAACTGTGAGTTTGCTGTCCTTTTACTGTTCATCTTTTTTTATCTTCTTTTTCTTACGTAAGTCCCTTTAACATTTCATATAATAAGGGATTGGTGATGATGAACTCCTTGAATTTGATCTTATCTGAGAAGCACTTTATCTGTCCTTCCATTCTAAATGAAAGCTTTGCTGAATAGATCAATCTTGGTTGTAGGTCTTTGGATTTCATGACTTGGAATACTTCTTTCCAGCCCCTTCTTGCCTGTAAGGTCTCTTTTGAGAAATCAGCTGACAGTTTGATGGGAACTCCTTTGTAGGTGACTGTCCCCTTTTCTCTTGCTGCTTCTAGGATTCTCTCCTTCATTTTAATCTTGGCTAATGTAATGATAATGTGCCTTGGTGTGTTCCTTCTTGGGTCCAACTTCTTTGGGACTCTCTGAGCTTCCTGGATTTCCTGGAAGTCTATTGCTTTTGCCAGATTGGGGAAATTCTCCTTTATTATTTGTTCAAATAAGTTTTCCACTGGTGGCTGTGCCTTTCCCCCTTCTGGTACCCCTATAATTCAGATGTTGGAGCATTTAAAGATGTCCTTGAGGTTCCTAAGTCTCTCCTCATTTTTTTGAATTCTTGTTTCTTCATATTTTCCTGTTTGGCCATTATTTTCTTCCTTCTGGTCCACTCCCTTGATTTGAGTCTCAGTTTCCTTTTCATCACTATTGGTTTCCTGTGTAATTCCCTTCATTAGTTTAGTCTTCATGAATTTCTCTAATTTGTGAGTAAAATCAACCAGTTCTGTGAGCATCCTGATCACCAGTGTTTTGAACTGTGCACCTGAAAATTTTGCTATTTCTTCGTTGCTTATATTTATGGGCTCTGGGGCTTTGAGATCTTCTTGAGCCATTTTTGGTTTATTCATGCCTGTTAAGTATGAGGAGCGGAGCCTTAAGTGTTCACCAGGGCAGGGCCACCCAGGTCACTGAGTTGTGATGCTGTATGTGGGGGCGGGGTCAGAGCGGGGAAATGGCGGCCCCCTTTGCTGCCTCTTGCCACTGGGGCCTGCTCAGTCCTGTCTCACTACCCGTTCCCTCTCTGGTCTATGTGGGCACGAATGCGGGGCCACAGTGAACTCACTGCCCTGTGCCCTCGCTGGTTCCGCTGGTTGCTCACTGGGTCACTCACTGGGTCTGCCTGTTGCAACACCATGCCTGGGATCTGTGTGCCTTAGTCCGTCTGACCAAGTTTTCCTGTGCAACCCCACTCTGCCAGCTGCTGGCTTCGCCCCTCTTACCAGTCAGGCTGAAGAATTTGTTGTTATCAGACTTCCGAAAAGTTCAATTTTCTGTGTTCTGGCTGTGTTTTCTGTTGCTAATATTTTCTTGTCTCTAAACTTGGTTGTGTGAGAAAGCACGGCGTCTCCACCTATGCCTCCATCTTGGTTGAAGTTTGTAATATGTTATAATATATTATTGTGGCAGTAAATACTGTTAAATTTCTTTGTAGTCATTAATTACAAATCTATGACAATTCTTACCTATAAAGGTTGCTTATTAGAATATATGCTGAGTGTTATAATCGCATTTTTGAGCACTGTGTATTATTAAAATTTTTCTTTCATTAACTAGTGAAACACTGAGACCAGCCTCATTCCATAGACTTAAAATATTTTTGCCTAGATCCCCTTGGACTTAGAATATTTCTCTTATAATATTTCCCGTTTATTTATTATAATTTATGCTTGTTATATATTAAATTATACAAATTATTAACTATACATATATTAGCATACCTATTTAAAAATAATAATGGTATAGTTTTAAATTAATATTTTTATTTTTTATTCAGAATGAGGTGCAAACAGCAAAAGAATTTATAAAGATTGTAGAAACTGCAGAAAATGAATATCAGGTATGATTTTTACATTTCTTTTATATATATTCGCTTATAAATAGTGACACTGAAATTTTCATTCTAGTCATAAACCTGAATTTTTTTTCATTGTTTCACTATAATGAGATATAATCCTTCTGTGTGTGTGTGTTTGTACTTGTTTGTTTTTACTTCAAGGGCAAACTTGTGAAAGTATAGACAAAACTCAGAGTGTTAGTCAAAATATGCCAAGATTTTAAATGGTTATTTTGTTTCTGATCAGAAATTTTAATACATGTATTTCCCAAAGCATTTGGATTATATGTAGTCTGTTTAGATAATATTTTATTTTGTACTCTGCTTTTTACATTATCTATAAGCTTCTAAACTAGACTTCTGAATATAAGCTTTTAATTTGTGGCTTGAACAAGTTTTGTAAGGAGTGGCTTAAATCACTCATTACAAACAGCAATTTATGAAATTGTTTTGAGTGAATAATAATAGATCCAAAATGAGGGTGCACATTAACTCTTATTTACAATTTCATTTTCTTGAATTTAATTATTCAAAATGATTATAAGTTTTTTCATTTAGCTGCTTTTAAATAATTTTTAAAACCATATTTAGGTTTTTATTTGACTTTTAAAAGCATTGAAACAGGCTGCTTAAATATACGTTTTTTGTAAATCATCTATGTGTTTTAGAAATTGTTGTTCTTTTATTTCTTTAAACTTTTAACTACTGTTTTTCATAGACTGCCATCAGTGAAAATTATCAGACAATGTCGGACACTACTTTCAAAGCCTTACGTCGACAGTTGCCAGTTACACGCACTAAGATTGATTGGAACAAGATTCTTAGCTACAAGATTGGCAAGGAGATGCAGAATGCATAAGATGAATATTGCATGATTGGATCAATTTAGTGTCTTTGCATTTAAAAAAAAAATCGTTGCAAATGTATTCAGAACTGTCAAGTTACCCAGTCAGGTGGGCTGTTGCCATTTAAAAATCACTGTAATTAGTTTGGTTAGAACACAGAGCTTAGCTAATCAACCCTTATTTTTCATTTCTCTTGTTCAAAGAGGATTGAAAATCATTTTAGTTTAAATGTCTTTCACTTTCTTTTACGCGTTTCTTAACAATGAAGAGATGATTCCTCTAGTTTAACGTTAAAAGTTTTTGAAGTGTTTCAAAATATTTTCCTTACCATAACCCTAAAAATTATTGTCTTTTGGTTTATGAAGTGTGTAATTTTTGATATTTGTCCAGTTCTTTTTAATGGGGTCAATAATGGATGTTCTCATTTAAGGTAGTTGATGGATTTAGCCGTATGTGCTGCTAAAGAAATTGTCTGCCTTTTTCTGAACCCTTGAGGGAAAACATTTTCTATATCAGCTGTGTTCAAAGCTTTCAAGAAGGTTATTTAGCTAGCTTAAGTGTTTAACTAAACTTTTAAAAACAAGGCCAAGGTCTAATGCAGTTTTGAGGTTCTGGAATTAAATGAAAAAAACATTTGAAAAATGCTTTTAATGCTTTTTTCTTGTGACAGTTACACAAATTAGCTTGAATTCCATATGTCCCTGAGTTATTTTTATCATAAAGCCACAAATGTATTATAACAAGACAAATTGTAATATATATAATCCTGAACTCATGACTATGTCTCAGTTGATTTTTTTTCTTGGATTGAAAAGTACTGAAATTCAGTGTGACATTAAAATGAAAATTTTTGTATTTACTTGAGTAGAAAACCACTTACCAGTGAGTCATATATTATGTTAAAATACTTTCTTTAAATATTGTGATTCTTAACTGGTTATAAGTTAGAAAAGCTGGGAGTACATAAATGTGCAGTTACAGTCTCAAATTTTCTCCTTTCTGGGCATCATATGCATGTTTATAATCTTTTAAAAAATACATTTACTGATGCTACAGGAATTTCAAGCCTGTTTTGAATGTTAGTATTTACTGTAGGGAGTGGGGTGGGTTATAGTTTCATCAAATGAGTATTGCTCATTATACTCCAGTGGAATTCTTTCCTCACATACTCCTGCAGATGTCTGGGCCTGAAAATGTTTTTTTTAAGCACCACTTTTATTATGTACAATAAAATATTTCATTAGCTTGAATTGTATAGGTTTTTAAAAATTTCTCAATGGAAGCATGTTAATTTTTATAAATCACTGTTGGGCTTTGAACACATTGAACATATAATATGAAATTATGAAAATTTTAAATTGTTTTATCTAGTTTTAAAATACAAGTTTTGCCATATTAGTAATCCTAAAGAAAGTGAATTGGCAAATTTAAGACATTTTCAGTAGTCTGATGGTGATTGTGAACTAAATATTAGATGAATCTTTAATGAGCTCAGTTGTATCAGTTGGGCTATCATGAGTTTGTATCCCCTAGAGGTCAATTGCTTTGGGTCTGTTTTATGATCTACAATGCATTTTTGAAAATATACCCTACTATTTTTAAGCTGATGTGCATGTGAAAGGTAATATTTATCAAAATAATTGAGAACATACTTTGAAATAATTGTGCAATAGAGTGGTCTTTTATGGTCTAAGATTATTGGTATTTTATTAAGTACAAGGATGGAAACCCAGCATAAGCTCAGGGATATAGTTTTACTAGAACACAATGTCAGTGTTGAAAAAATAGGCTGAAGTGTGGAAGCAAGGGCAGTATCAGGGAGGACAATGAGAAGGCTATTTCAGTGATCTGGTTGAGAAAATGTTGGCTTGGCCTGAGGTCTCATAGCTGTGGGCTGTGGAGAGGATGCCTTCTGGATGTGCATTAAAGGTAAAATCAAGATTTGCCAAAAGACTAGTTATGGAATGTGAGATAAAGACAATGCCAAGGATTTGGGGGTTGAAAAATTAGGGAAGATTGGGGTGGAGGGGGACTGGTCAGGAGCTCGGTTTAAGATTGCAAGGGGAAATACCATGTAGCAGTTGTATACTGGAGGCTTTGGGTAGAGGAGTGCTCTGAGTTAGAATGAGAAACAGAGTTCGAAAGACAGGCAGAATGAAAGGGTCCTCAAGGTTAGTGGTAAGGCATTTGTTATGAGGCCAGTAAGTATGGCTATTTTCTTCAGGCATATAAGGTTGTTTGGGTGCAGGCATAGAGGAGATCAGTTGAATTTAAGCAAGGTAATAGTTTTGTCAAGAGAGTATGACTGAACACATGGGAAAGGGGGCAAGGTTATAATGATAGTCTGTGGAATTTAAGTCAGTTAAGCAGAGAAATGAGGGCTTGATAGGAAAGACAGTGAAAATTGTGGCACAATCCATGGATTGTCAACATAGGAAACATCCAAACCTGTAAATTTTTGTAAGATTTTATTTGAGCCAAACTGATGACAGTCCTCCAGAGAATGATCGCTTGCAGTTACTTTTATGCATTTGAGATTAAGGAGAGAACTTTAAAGAAAATTACATGAAGGCAGGGGGAAAAAAGCAGGGCAGGATGATTAGATTACAGGCTAGTTAAGACCTGTTGAGGATGGTTATTATTTCTGGTATTTCAAAGGTATATTAACCTAGATGGACAAGGAAGATGGGCAGGGGTTGTAAAGAAGTTATAGGCCTGGGCGTGAACACCACCATGACCTGCCCAGTTAGAAAGGAATGATCTAGAAATGTAGGGGACTTCCGCCAAGATGGAGACATAGGTGGAGACGCCGTGCTTCCTCACACAACCAAGTTTAGAGACAACTAAATATTAGCAATAGAAAACACAGCCAGAACACAGAAAATTGAACTTTTCGGAAGTCTGATAACAACAAATTCTTCAGCCTGACCGGTAAGAGGGGCAAAACCAGCAGCTGGCAGAGCTGGGTTGCACAGGAAAACTCAGTCAGATGGACTCAGGCGCGGGGATCCCAGGCGTGGGGTTGCAAAGGGCTGACCTAGTAAGCGACCTAGTGAGCACGACCAAAGTGAGTGACCGGCAGATCCAGCAAGGGTGAAGGGTGGTGGGTTGACTGTGCCGGCGCATTTCTGTGCAGATAGACCGGTGAGGGAGTGGGCAGTGAGACGGGACCGAGTGGGTCCCAGCAACGGGAGGCTGCAGAGACGGCTGCCATTTCCTGGTTCTGACCCCGCCCCCACATACAGCATCACAATCCAGCGACCTGAGTGACCCTGCTCTGGTGAACATCTAAGGCTTTGTTCCTCACCCAGCAGCGGGAAGCAGGAGAGGGGGATGCCATTTCCCCACACTGACCCCACCCCCACTTACAGCATCACAACCCAGCGACCCGGCCCTGGAGGCCCCGTCCCGCCCCTAAGGCTCTGGTCCTCATACTTAATGGGCACGAACAGACCAAAAATGGCTCGAGAAGATCTCAAAGCCTCAGAGCCCATAAATCTAAGTGATGAAGAAATAGCAAAACTTTCAGATGCACAGTTCAAAACACTGGTGATCAGGATCCTCATAGAACTGGTTGATTTTAGTCACAAATTAGAGGAACATATGAAGGCTAAACTAATTGAAATGAATGGAAATGCACAGGAAACCAATAGTAATGGAAAGGAAACTGGGACTCAAATCAAAGGAGTGGACCAGGAGGAGGATAAAAATGACCAACCAGAAAATAATGAAGAAACAAGAATTCAAAAAAATGAGGAGAGACTTAGGAACCTCCAGGACATCTTTAAACGTTCCAACATCTGAATTATAGGGGTACCAGAAGGGGGAAAGGAACAGCCACCAGTGGAAAACTTATTTGAACAAATAATAAAGGAGAATTTCCCCAATCTGGCAAAGGCAATAGACTTCCAGGAAATCCAGGAAGCTCAGAGAGTACCAAAGAAGTTGGACCCAAAAAGGAACACACCAAGGCACATCATAATTATATTAGCCAAGATTAAAATGAAGGAGAGAATCCTAGAAGCAGCAAGAGTTAAGGAGACAGTCACCTACAAAGGACTGTCAGACTGTCAGCTGAATTCTCAAAAGAGACCTTACAGGCAAGAAGGGGCTGGAAAGAGGTATTCCAAATCATGAAATCCAAAGACCTACAACCAAGATTGCTCTATCCAGCAAAACTTTCATTTAGAATGGAAGGGCAGATAAAGTGCTTCTCAGATAAGATCAAATTCAAGGAGTTCATCATCACCAAGTCCTTATTATATGAAATGTTAAAGGGACTTATCTTAGAAAAAGAAGATTAAAAAATATGAACAGTGAAAGGACAGCAAACTCACAGTTATTAATAACCACATCTAAAACAAAAGCAAACTAAGAGGACAGCTAGATCAGGAGCAGAACCATAGAAATGAAGAAGATCTCATGGAGGGTTAGCAACAGGGGAGTGGGGGGAGAAGGTACAGAAAATAAGTAGCATAGACGGTAGGTAGAAAATAGATAGGGGAGGGCAAGAATAGTATGGGAAAAACAGAATCTAAAGAACTTGAGACACATGGTCATAAACTAAAAGGGGGGAATGGTAGGGGTGGGGAGTTCAGAGTGGAGGGGAATGGAGGGGGGAATAGAACAACTGTAATGGCATAATCAATAAAATAAAAATTTAAAAAATTTAAAAAAAGAAATGTAGGAAGTGGTAGCTAGAGTGTGTGCCTCAGAAGGAGATTTTGAGGAGTTAAAGTTATTAGTAACAAGTATGACCAAGGGGGTGCTGGCTTAACTGAATAGAGGAGAGGGGTTCAAGAACTATGGAGCTGGAGCCTTGGGTTACTGAGGATATTGAAGTCAAGGATTACGATTAGTGTGAAGTTTTTGTGGACTATACCTGGATATAAACATTTATAATGCATTTGTATGAATTAGATAAATATGTGATACAGATATTCATGAGGCTTTTGCCTCAGGAAATTGGAAACTAAAGTGAAAAGAGGAGCATTCAGTGAAAGGTGTCCTAGAAGTTCTGGCTTGTTACAAATGTTTCTTTTTTTATTTTAGAGAGAAAAACATTGATTTGTTCCACTTATGCATTCATTTACAAATGTTCTTGAAAAGTGAAGTTCTTAGGGAAGTAAATAAAGACAACTATAGATAATTTTATATAGCATTTGGGTGGCCCTTTCTGAGATTGGCCCTTTCTGTGGTTAAAATCATTTTTAAGTTCATAATCACACCAAGATCCTTTGAAAAGATTTTTCATACTGATAATCAGTTTGTGCCTTTGCCAGCTAGTGGGTATAAAATAATAAGTCCTATTTTGCCAGCAGTTAACGTGGATGTTTTGTGTAATGCATGCATGTTATGAGACATCCTGAGGAGAACATGTATTTCTGTTCACGTCTCTATGATAGATTATTTAAAAGCAGAGTGACACTGTACTTACATTCTTAAAATGTAGTCCTTTTGGCCTTGAAACAAATCTTTTAAAGGCAAAACTTTTTGTGTAGGCATTTTCAAGTTTGACATTGTATTGTGCAAAAGCTATTGGAGAACATGCAAAATATTTGTCAATTAAATAACCAGTTAAATTTTTAAGGTTTATTTGGTATTAGAAACTAATGTCGGGTCATTTGATACTAATCACGCTATGTTCAGAGGATTACTCAGGCATTGTGGAGTCAGGAAAACATAAAATTGTTTCTTAAAGGTGCCTACAAAGAACTCATGGGACTACATAGCAGTGTTTTCCAAACCTTTACACATTACAACATGACATTTCACATTAGAAAATGACATTCGTGAGGCACTCTAGGAGGGTTGGATTGAGTCATGATAGTGAGAAGCTATGAAAATTGCCTGACCAGTGGAATAGAGAAAGACAGCTGAGACAGACAGCTGAGTGCAATGGCGAGGCAATTTACAGCCAGGTGTATGTGGTCAGGGCAGAAGGCCTGGCAGGGGACAAAATTGGGAAAACGAGGGCCTCATCCCCAATATAACCTCTTCTCCCCTGGCCTTTCCTCCCTGGAGATAACAGCTAGGGGACAACATCTAGGCTTCAGTTGTGTTTCAGCTCCAGGCCAGAAAACAGCAAAACCAGGTGGGTGATGCCAGGACCAGCTGCAGCGACTAAAGTCCTGCCCCGTCACACTGACCAATAAGTGGAGACCATGACCCTGAAAGGGCACATGTGGAGAACTGATGAATATTCTACTGAAATCCTCCCCTGTGACCTCCCAAGATTCCTGCCTGCAAG